GATGAGCAATAAGAACATCCCTAGGTAGGCTGTTACAGGAACTCACCTCTGCACATTTTTTTGGTAGCACTAAACGCCCGATCCGCCCTGCATCGCTGGCACTTAACATTTTCTCAAACAAAGGAGTGATGACAGAATTCGAACTTACATATGGTTAAGGTTATAGGACAGGAAGCTTAATCCAGCAGAGAGATAAAAACGGGCAGGGGGTGGACATTTGGTTAAATACAATGTAAAGAAGAGCTAGCTCATCTTTTTTTTTTTTTTGTGAAAAGGAAGAGCCTAGCTCATTTCAATAATGAAATGGAGAACAGAACAGATCAAACAAGAGTAGGAAATCAGTCTTCACACTGGAACTGCCTCAACAATTTAATGGTGTCACAATCAGAAAAAAAAAAGAAGTGCATTCACTAACCCACAAAAAAAAGTTCATAGAAGTAAAGGATACCCCAAAGAAAGCTTCTGTAGATCTTGATCAGTAAATCTGGGCCAATAACGAGACAGCAATTGACTTTTCCCACGACCATCAACACGGGGCCTTCCATTGCGAATCTGACCATCACCTGATGTATCAACTCCATTATGTAAGTTTCCATGAATTTGCTTTCCTGGTAAAGTTTGAGACATGGGACGCAAATGAGATCCAGAGACTTGAGTCTGACCAGTTGTTTCATTTGCAGATTTATGAGGCACAGAGAAGCTAAATTGGGGAGTTGATGGTTCCTCTTTTAAGGATGAAGGCTGCTGAGATGTATTTAAACACGAACTAGTTTGCTCCTCACAACTAAATCCTGCAACAAGATGATCCTATGGACGTTCAGAAGGCATCATGTCCGCCATTATTATATCCTCCCTGCATGAAACACCCACTGACACACGAGTACATGCAGTGACATGCTAGAGGACACGATTCCGTACTCCTGGAATGATTATACCCACTACCATATTTCTTAAAAATCTGAGGATGATTTCCAGAAGCATGAATTACAAGTTCCCTTCACATTTAAATTGGAAAATAATTGAACTTATACTATGATATTATTTTTTAAAAAAATTTACTTCAACTCTTCTTAAACATACCTAGAGGACCAAGGAATGTGTTAAATATAGTACGTATTGATTTAATACACACAGAATGATCTAAAAAATAATCTGAACCTGGATTTCCATTTTCGAGTATATCCCCAGCACCGAGCTTCAGGCTTCCATTTATCGATCTGTCCGAAAAATCCTCGACTTTCCTTTTCTCCAGGGAAGGTCCTGTATTAAGTCTGTCAATACTGGTAGATAGATCAACTTCATAGGGCATCCTACGAAGAAAATCCGGCTGAGAAATAGAAGAATTGAACAGAGTAGGTGCTTGTCGCCATGGCACAGGGCCTGATCCAGCCAACTGACTCCAATTCTTTACAGAAAGGTCTTTAAGTCTCTCTGGAATAGGAGGATGAAAGAAAAAAGGCGACAATGAAGGAGTTGCTCCCTGCAATACAGAATAATACAAGGTTGTAACAAAATATTCTGAAGATTAAAGTTATATAATTATAACTATATATGAATAAAACAGCAGCAACAAACTTCACTTCAGAAGAAAGAACATATCAACCAATCAAGAAGTTTCAATTATTAACGCAAACCGAAAAAAATAACATAAAGTAACTATATGCCTAGACAATGAAAACCAGTTTTAGGAAATGCAGAATAATTGAATAAGCTCATGCCTTGTACTAACCACGTGATAGCTTCACATTGATGGAAACAACCTACAAGAATTTAATGAATTATACATCAAAGTCAGGAGATCCATATGTGAAGGAGAGAATATGACTAATAGCATCTGCATATGCATGTGCAGCTAGCTAATTTTTGTTGAACCTAACTTTGACAACTAAATTTGTTTGGTGGACTGCCATATCACTTCCCCCTATCAGAAAACTTAGGGTCCTGATCAGTTATAGAAAACTCTTTTTGAGTTTGAATTTTCATTTTGTGCTTTTATTTTCACATAGAAGTGATTGATTGTTAAGGTTAAAAAAATGTTCTGAAAATTAAAAAATAGTAAATGTGCTGAATTTCAAAAACACATGTTTTCAATTTTCTGATTTAAATTTAAACAATTATTGTACCCAACTAAATATATACTTTACCTATCTGAAATTTTCCCATAATTGATAACCAAAGAAATCCTTCCAGAAAAGAGATTTTTAAA